ATTCTAGTTGAGTTCGGAAACCCCAATATTAGGAATATGCTACTATGAAGTAGTGAAAAAATAGAACAAGTTACTGGGGGTAGATGCCGAATAGTACCAGATGACTTGATTCGCATGACTAAGCGACCCCGTTGATAGGACTATAACTATTACTTCTGTCACCACATCGTGTGCGCAAACCCCCGAAAATAAGAGGCCAATGGATGACATAAGAAAGTAGGAGCTTCGTTGTTACAAAACGATGCCTCAGTTCAACCCAGTATGAATGAATTGGAATTGGACTGTAAGAAAACAGTCCTCAACAGGATGGTTCAGCCAAAAAGTAATCCCTATGAGGATTGGCGGTGAAAAGAAACTAGTGTGGGAGTAAATACCCAGAGAAAAAACGTGCCGGGCCCTCGGGTGCTTCGCCCGAGGGAACTCATAGAGAAAATGTCCTAAACACAGAAGCCTCAGCACTGCGAAAAAGAAGTTTAAAACCGTGGTTTACAAACATCTGCAGTGTTGAAAATAAGTGAGAAGAACTGAAAACCAGATGCCCATACGTGGTCATTCTGTCTGAAGGATGATTGTCTCCAAGACACTTCATAGGTAACCTCATGCTCCCGGACTTTGCCATGTATAGGACAGACCGGGAGATAGGTAGGAGACGTAATCTTGATTCTCGTCAAGAAACAATATGCTCAATGGGAAACCGCTGAACTGAGACTGTGAACCTCCTTTGAGCAAGCAGCTGGATGGACTATTTGGAACCGGGGACTACGCTTCATCATCCTTGGAGTCTACAGAGCACCCTCGACTAGATCAGTAAAGCAAAGACAGCTGATAAACACACTAAGCACGTTGCTTAGGAAAACGACAAGGACCATCATAGTGGATGATTTTAACCTGTCCGGAATGGATTGAGAATACGCTAACGCGGGATTTAGTGCCTCTGAAGAGCAGTTCCTAAGGCTTTACCACGAGCAGGCACTTTGTCAACATGTTCAACAACCAACTTGATTCACATATGGGCAGAGATCGTTCATTCTAGATCTAGTGCTTACCATGGTGGAGGACGACGTTAGTGAAGTGACTATGGAAGTCCCGTTGGGCAAAAGCGATCATAGTATAATCACGTTTAGGAAATGCATAAATCAGGAAAATCCCCCCTCCAAATTAATCAGGAACTTCAGTCGAATGAATGTGGCCAACCTATTCCAAGAGGCTGATTCGACCATTCCATGGTCGCCCAACGATGATGCATCTGTTGAGGAGGAACGGAGCGTACTTTGGGAACACCTAGTAAAGCTCATTAACAGGTATGCGTCATTACAACCGAAGAGTAATTCTCAAGGCCCTGCATGATGAACAACTCCCATAAATGGAGCAATAACTTTCAGGGGGTGTAAATGGAGGGATTATACAAACTTCGGAGGGCAGCCCAGGTGGTTAGCCTACAAATGGCCTGAAATTACGCAAACAAGCTTATAAAACAAGCTAAAATGAAACATGAATTGAGGATCGAGAATTATAATTGCCGGCATCCAGTCTGGGGGTATGGCGCCCATGGAGAGAAACGTATTGAATATGGAGGCTAGCTCGGGGCTTAGTGAGGAGCTTAGGTGTCTGATGATGGAAGAGTGAACATCGTCAGGACCGGAGGATTTATGTGGATTCAGGTTGGACAATGCCCTATCTACGTCCTCTGGGGTAATGGAGACCTCAGGCATATCGTATACTTGATCGTTGTTGGGCTGATGTAGGTTACTATCGGTTCTGTGCACGATTGAGAAGTACGAGAGAAAGGCGTTCGCGATTTGCTCATCCGAGGTGAGCAGGTTGCTTTGCACTCGTAGTACGTTGCCGATCTATTTCCTTGTGGAAAACCTTGCTTGAACGTACCCGAAGTAACGTTTTGGATTCAGCTTGGCGTCTCTTGCGATGCCAAGTTCGAATGTTTGTCCAGCCTTCCTGGAGATCTTGATTGTTTCTCAGGAGTTTGTATCTCCTATTTAAGACAAAACTCCTGAGACTGATGTACGTTTTCCAGGCCAACCGTTTCCTTTCCAGGGCTTTTCTGATCATGGGTTGCCACCACGGTTTGTCGCTTCGCGGGTTTCTTGCCCCAAATTGGACGTGCTTCTCTGTTAGGTGAGTTATTTTCCTAAGCAAGAGAGCCCATCTAGACCAGTCCAATTCCCTTGCGCTATCAAGTAGTTCTTCTACCTTGACAGCGTGGAAACGTCGGGTTTTCTGCTTAGGCCTTGGGGATGTCATTTGTATAAAAAGAAAGTGCACCGGGCAGTGGTCGCTTTTCCCTAGAGGTACTCTCAAGGACACCTCGTTAACCTCTAACGGATTTCTGGAAAAAATCAGGTCCAGGGTAGAGCGCTGTTGTCCCGGTCTAACTTGTGGGTTAGATCACGTGTTGAGTTAGGGACAGAGAGCAGGAGGTATCTAGCAGCTTTTCGTCGAACGGGTTCCAATGGGCAGTGAGATCTAGCCAGTTTATGTTCGGGGCATTGAAATCACCGAGAATTAGCAGCCGGTAACCTGTTCGAGAAGCATTTTTGGAGCTTGAAGCAGCTGTAGGTCTTCTGCGCTGGATGCATATAGGTTACGGTAGATTCCTATTGTTAGAGCTGGTGGGTTCAGATGAAGAAAACATGCTGTTGTCTGGATACGCAACGTGTTCTCCATGAATTGGGTTGCAGACTGGCTGATCTCTTTTCTGACGAGCATCAGACAACCCCCTCCGGGAGCTCCGCTTCTGTCCGCTCTGTACGGTTGAAATTCGTCGCTCCAGTCTCCGACTGAAGTACAATCCTGGAGCCAAATTTTGGTTAGGACACACAGGTCGGTGGTGCATAGTAGGTAGGCGATCTCGTCTCTCCTGCTGAGGAGACTACAGACGTTGACTAGCACACCTCTAGTTCGCTGTTGCCCTTGGCTTCTGTCCCAGGACCACTTTATGGCTTCCTCGGAGTTGTCCCCGAGGAGTTTACACATTTGTTTGGTCGGGGTTGGCTGAGCTCGCGCGCTGAATCGGCTCCTGAGGTGTTGGTGTTGGTCTGGAGAGGATGCAAAGTCGATTAGGTCTGTTGTCCGACCCACGGTTGTCTGTACGCAGGCGGTCAATTTTGACCTGTAATCGAGGCGAGTTTGCCGTAACCTCTGTTTCGAGTGCCTTTGAGACGGTGGAGTCGGGACCAATGGATATATTTTCCATTGCTGCTGCGATCATCTCTGCTTCAGAGAGGACCAAATCCCGATCCTTGAAAGAATGGAATTCTACGAGCAGAGGCCGCACGGCTGTGGCGCATCCATTGTCTGTGGGGGTCCATTTACCTACTCTATGTGTTCTCCTCCACCTCAGGCGAGGGTGGCAACCCGAATTCCTCAGAACACTATGAGTTAAGTTTTTTCCGCTTTGAGCCTTTGAGAGCTTACACAAATGTAGGGCTCTGGGGCTCTAATCAGGATGTTCCTTGTCCGAACAATGGTTGTTCGTAGGCAGACTGAAGTATCTTTTCTTATGTTATTTGCTTACGTAATTTGGCCGAGAGTTTTTCTAACTGGCTTTTGTGCTGCGAGATGCAAGCTAGAGTCATTGTTATGGGGGCTTGTTCTTCTGGGTCTCGTAAGCTTGGGCTTATCCGACCGGTTGGATACTTCTGGGCCTTTTATCTTGGGGAGGTTGCTGTGGACGGGTTCGCTGGTGAGTTATTGAGCTTCTCTTGTCTTGGCTTTTGAGTGCATTGTACCGCGTATTGATGCTGACCTTTCCACCCTGAAGTTGGACCCTTGATAGCCTTGTTTATGAGTTGCGGCCTCAGCTGGTTCCCGGTTTCGTCAGGGTTCCCCTCTCCCTGCCTTATTAGACGTTGCTTACGCATTGTCGTCACCCATGGACTGTCGTGAAGTGGGGTCGGGTGAGGGATTGGCTCACCCGGTGGGATCGTTTCTGTTCGCGATATTTTCAGGAAGATGGGTGTTGGCGTGAGGTGTATCATCGTTTTCTGCTCCTTCCGTTGAGCTGGATCTTGCATGATTTGGTTTATATGATAGTTGTATTGCGCCTCCACAACGGCACGGTTGTTATGGATAACTGTGTTTAATTCACGAGGGCTGGCTGTTCCTTCATTCATTAAGTGGTAACCCTGTTTTCAACTGCTTCCGATCGTCAGCTCTTTGCGGGATTTCAATGTAAGTCTTTGGCGAAGACTGATCTAGTGATTCCTTCAAGGTCAGTAATGTGGCCTTCTGGGCAAGGAGTGTAGTCTGAGTGACGTTGCTTGCTTGGTCTTGTGGTGACTTCAGCGTGGTGGAGCGATCTCATACCACCATCGCTAGACGAGGAATCATGGNTGTCTTTAAGTGCAGTTTTAGCGATCTCTTTGCAACTTTCGCAGATCCACAGAAGATCCTTGTGAGTACTAAAGAGTTTATAGACTGCAATTGAGAGTTGTGAGCATAGCATTCATGCTCAAATTATTTGAGAGATGCTTGTTAACGTGGATTATCACTGAGGCTGAGGAGGACGACATACATTAATTTACATATCGCTCTTCGCGCTCAATACTTGATGCTATTGCATACCTTTTTTATTCAATAATTTCGGCATTAAATAAAAAAATTAAGGCCGTCAGAATGATGTTCTTCGACCACAAAAACATTTTCGGCAGTCATAATCGATCAGTATTGCTCAACCTGATTAACGCAAGTGTTGTTAATTCAAATGTTAGCAGATTGATCTGCAGTTATTTTACAAATAGAAGGCAGTTTACGTGCCTCAACGAAAAAAGTCCTACGCTCGCCCAGTTTCTTCCGGTGTTCTGCAAGGTGCCATATTTTCCCCATTTTCCTGCTCAATGTATGTCAAACAATTTTCCATTCCTCCTGCATTCATTGGCAGCAAATATGCAGATGGCGTTGTTTTAGGTTGCAAAGCATCCACCCCTGAACAGGCTTCAGAAATTCAAAGCAAGCTAAACGACGTTGTTACTTGGTCCTTGTTCCAGTTCCTCTCACTGAATGCTTCTACATGTCAGCATGTTGTGTTTTCCATCTTGGTCGATGTAACATATTCAGCCCTCACAGATAGGTTCCCCACCCTCTGCCAATCAACAACCCGTACCTAAATCAATAACAGTAAAATATCTTGGCGTCACCTTGTTACACAATTTATCATGGTCACTGCATGTTCAAAACATTCTGTAAAGTTTGGAAAGCTTCTATATTTCACAATCCGATTAAGATTACTTTCTGTTCCCCATAAGCTAATTATTAGGTTTGTAAATGCATGCGTGCTACCCCAGTGGTTGTATTGCTCCCCAGTGATTTTTCCAGCTTTGTTGAAGAAAAGCATTTATTTACTGGCGAGATCTCTGAAACACATCTATAAATATGGTATCGTTGTCATGGATAAACTCGCCGATTCTATCGCAGACAAACACCTACAAGCATACGAAAGTTCCACTGCCAAAATACTCTCAGACACTCACCACCCATTACACAACGAATTTTCAAAAGTTGTATCTACATCATCCACACGCTCAAGATTTAAACCTTTAGTTGCACATACCCCGGCTTATCCTGATTGTGTTCTGCCATATCTACATATTACCAAGGAGAATTGTGCAAATGATTACTTCATTGACAAACACAAGTTACTGCTTTCGGTTTCATAAGGTAATGATTAGGTAATGATTTTGTAAATTGGAATCCACAAATGTGGTGTAAATGCTGAAAATTCATTTATCCGTGTGTACAAGCTACCACTGACTTATCCTGACTTAACTCAAACTCCAGTGTTAAGGTCGCAACACATCACGTTTTTTCTCTCGTACACCCAATTTACCACATATATTTCATGATAAACAACACACTCTGACTCTCGTTTCTCAGCCTTGTTTTTCTCCAATTGTTGGGGTCTAGAAAAGAGACGCACATATCAATCAAACGTCTTGGCATAAGACACAACAAAAGCACAGCATAACATAATGCATTAGATGCTCACAGATATGAGCCATGATGATCCTTTCCAGCACCTTTCAAAGAAGGCCAGTCAGGCTTACCGGTCTGCGGTTGTTTACTTCTGACCTGGGCCCTCGTTTATGTATGGCCACCACAGCGGCTGATTTCCAGTCCCTTAGTAAAATACTTTCTTATGAATTTAGCTTGTTTAGCTGACATAATGGTCGAGCTAAGCTACCCGGTACTGGTTTTACAATGGCTGGATGATGATCATCAGGTCCAGCCAAGTTGTTCATATTTGAGCTCTCCAGATGGTTCCTAAACATATCCTCCGTTAGATGTAAATCGTCTATAACTACCGGAAGAGTTGTCGGGTCCCAGATTATGCGCGCATCGTCGTCAGCAGATGAATGCGCTTCCCGAAAAGATCAATGAGAAACGCGTAGCCAAGATATGATCTCAAAACGTCAACAAAACGAGCGATCCCGCAAGATCCTACGGCCCTGCATTAACGAACAGTCAAATAAGCAAATAAAATATGTGCAAATCTCAAAGGTAATCTCACAATAAATTAAAAACAAGATCTAAGTGTTACCATAAGCGTAATTCAAGGAATATGAACGGAAGTAATAAGTCTGGACAGAAATAACACGCTCACCATCAAGCTGCTTTTAAACGAGTCAAACTTGAGCGGTCAGATAGTGATTAAAACGAGTAAGATCATCCCGAAGAACAAACAAACAACGTCAGAAAAGGGATCAATGCGTAAATATACAAATGTGATGGAACGTTCAATGTGTATATGTACAAGGCAAACGATGTCGAGCGGTTGAAACATAAAATTCACGAAATTGAATCAAAGTGGTTTGTCCGGGTTTTAAAGGAAGGACTTCCAGTGGGTCCCTCGCTAACCCAAAGGATTCCTCAACTGTCTGTATTTTCAGTTTGCTTCGCCTCTTCTCCTTCCAGATAGCACATTAGATGGATGTTTCAAAGGGTTTCACCAGCCGCCGTCTTTACTTTATCTGTACTTAAGAGTCCATCTTCGTACACGTGGCATTCTTCGAAGAATCCCAGAGGCCATTTATCTCTTCGTAATCGTTTTTCCGCAAGCAGCACTATGTCGCCATGTTGAAAGTTTTTCCTTAAGTATTCATATCTGGCTCGTCTTTAAGTTAGGTAAGTTGCCTGTTTCCAGCCAGTCGAGTAATATTCGATGATTGTTCGAGGTACGCCTGATCCGTGGTTTGGTCTCAAACATCCCAAGTCGTTTTGTGTGAATGTGAGACCTGGAGCTGCAGTCACAACTGCAGCCATGAGTCTATTGTTCAGTACCCTTTTTACCCAAGGTTTCATTGTCGATGGTCTGTTGATTGAATACCGCTAATAAGATCCTTCTCACTAATCTCACCATACGTTTCCACACCCTTCTCCTACGGCTGTTGTATGATGGGTTGAAGTGCCACCGGATACCCTGGGAGGTCAATCGCTTGTGTAGTTCACTCTGGTCAATGCCCGACAGCCACCTTTGCAGCTCGTTGAATGCGCCAACGTAGGTGTAACCACTGTCGGAGTAGATTTCCGTCGGAACCCCTTGTCTGCTGATCAACCATACCGCTTCGGAACTGGTCGCCCGTATACTACTACCAAGGGCCCGAATTAGTCTACTCCAGTCCCAATAAATAGCCACCAACCCGCTCGTACCGTGAATTTGATTACGGAGGCCTCAGTTGTTTCCCTGTTACCGCATTCTTTGAACGACAAAACATACATCCGCCGATATTTCCCTTTGTTGTGGTCCTACATTGTGCTATCCAAAACCTTTTTGGGATGGCGTTCAACAGATAATTACTGCCCGCGTGATCGTTGCACACGTGGAGATGTCTTATGAGCAGATTGGTGATATGGTTACCGGCTGGTAGGAAAATTGGAAGTTTAGTTTCAAACGCCAAGGAAGAATTGCCTCGTCTCCGTCTAACGCGCAGTAATCTTTCCATCAGAATGGGGTTTAGTTTTTGCAGGGTGCTCCATCGGATCACCGTCTTGTTTGTGCTCGTTCACCCAATCCGTTTCAATACTATCACTTATAGGGTGAAGTGGTGTTCTTGTACTAATTTCACTGCGTCATTCTCGGCTCTTATCAGGTCGTCCATCGATAGTGGTCTCTTATTCAGTGCTTTGTCGGGGCGAGATCGTGTCATGATCATTATCACATGTTTAGACAACATCCACCAAGCAACCGAGCAAATCAGTTTGTCCCAGTTCGAGAAGCATTCCAGTTTTCCCAACAAGGGTGACAAGAGAACACGCTCTGCCGTCATTGGGACTCTTCTGGCTTCTGTTAACTCAGCGGGTGTAAGGAAGCTTCGAATTCGTCCATGTGTGGCCACAATTGCTCGCTTCAACGATTTTATAGACCCAGGACACTCCCTACGAGTCAAAACTATTGTCCAATACGACCAGGCAATCTCAACAGTCAATGTAAAAGAAATTAAAGGCATACTGCGAGACCTGAACCAAAGCACTATATTCGAACGTAAAATACACGGTACGCTGAACGATTAAGGTGGAAGTGTGTGAAAACAACACGCGTGAACGTTCAGTGAAACAATAACGTGACGTTAAACACGAGTGACAAAGCACAGTTACTACAGAGGCTTCCCCTAGATTGGCAACGGAGTTAGACTTCGGTGGTGCACGCAACGCAGTAAGCATTGTATTCTTGGTAGCAGGCGAAGTTTTCCATGCCAATCATCGTGACGAGCCAAGGGAACGGACCGGGCACAAGACATTCTCCACGCCTCACCCACTGCCCTGTGGCTTTACGCCAAGGCTCTCAACTCCGGGTAAGGATAGGGACCTGTATTCGTGAAATGCCGAAGACGACTCAAGTTTGGTTTTAGCCCTGTTTCGTGCTGTTGCCTGAGTCTCTCCGTCCTGTGCTGACCCATGGGGTGGCTGTTGGGGATCCAAAGCGATTGGCCCTCCAGTGAAAAAGACATTCGGACCTCAGCGTGATTCAAGTTGGATGTGCTCTGAGTGCGAGTCGTTAACCATTGCGGAAAAACCACGGGGTTGCTACACGACTGCTGGATTCAATCGAGTCCATTGTGTAGGGTACGGTGTGAAGCTGAAACGCCAGAAAGCAGGGAACATTATGCGCCTTGCGGCATAACAGATGTACGACCACACGGTACATCTGAAGCTTGATGCTGCGTGTTACGTGTGGTCGCATATGCACCAAAAAACATGATAACAACAGCTGTACAAAGTGCATGTTAGGCTGTAATAAACAAGACGCGCCACTTAGCAAAGGTCGAGTAATGAGGAGGCTTGCCCGTTTCTGTATCTCGTTGGGCTTTTGACGTGCTGAGACCAGGATAGCTCTGTGACCACGTTGACTAACAACCTTCCAAATTTATTATCCGGGGCGTGGAGTCTGCGCCAATCTATTGCCGGAGCGTTGAAGTCTCCAGTTGTCAGAAGATGCACATTGGGGCGCATAGATCTTAAGCTTTTTAGTAGATCTATCAGGAGCTGTGATTCTAGCTCGCCACAGGACTACTTTTAGCACCAGTGTCTCAGAGCGGGACAGGGGAATTTGTACCCAAAGGCAGTCTATGAAGGGGATGGGAGGGAGTGATAGAGTGATCGCCTGGGGAGGTGGTCACTCGTGTAGAGAATCACACCACCTGCTCGACTTCTCATTGAGTCTCTTCGGATCAATGATTAACCTGCAAGGGATATTTCGCCATCGCTGTTGTCCGGGGTCAACCAGGTTTCTGTGAGGGCTAAAACATGGGGTTTCTTATCGGCCACTAACTGTTTGACTTCCAGCATCTTTTTCAAGATGCTGAGACAGTTAGTGGAGATACACTTCAAGGCCCACTCACCAGAGATTTTAGAGGTAGCAGGGTTAGAGGAGGGATTTTTGGGAGGGGCTCCAATTTGGGTATCCGGTTTGTAATAAGTGGGCTGTGGATACGGTCCGGATTGTGGACCATTCTGCGGTGTGATAGCCTCGACCTGTTGAAGAGGTCGGGAGGACGAGTAGGATGGGACACCTGGAGAAAAGAGACGGTATGTGATCCCATACGGGAACGTGCGAGGTATCCCTGTTGCCCACTGGGATGCGCGTCACGGAAAAGGGGGGATTGTGGTGCTAGTAACCTGGTTGGGAAGAGTGGTACGCGGGGTTTGCCGAGTAAACCGTTCCGTTGTGGCTTGGGATTAGGGGTTGTCTTGGGGTTAATCTTGTTCGTGGCGGGGGTGTGGGCTTTGATGTCGAAGCTGTAGGGGGCAGCAAAGGTCGCGCCGCGGATGTCACTGTGGCCCTGAGAGATTGTCGTGCCTTGGGAGGTGAGAAGGATGTCGTCGCTTGGTGGTCAGTGCGCGAGAGAGGTCACCGGCGGACAGCGGGGTTTGGGATCGCTCAGAATACATGGGTAAAGAGTAGTGGTACTAGTAAAATATAAATTGCAATGGAATAAGGTGGAATAGAGTTAGTTTAGGATAGCCACAATTAAGGATATAAGCAATGTGTACAGAAAAACACTTATTAAACGTAAAAATGCGAACTTATCGATCCACGACAGATTTTCAACCGCGCGCGGTCGAGGTCACTTCAGTTTTCGAGTTACCCGGGTTCTGGTGGTAGGTTTAGTGCTCATTGACGGACGGAGGTCTTCGGAGTAGTTGTATAGTGACAATGTCAACTTCTTCTGATCATGTACCTTTTCCATCTTCCGGACCTTGTTGTCTTACCGGACTAAGAAGACCTCGTTGGTCACGGTGCATTGAATTTCACTTTCTGCACGCTTACTTATCTGCGCGTTTCTCCGAGAGGAGTTGTCAGTACAATTGGATGGTGTATTGAGTCGCGACGATCGATTGGTAATCAAACCGCCACTGCGGAAGACGGTACTAGAAGAATTGCATAAAGGATATATGGGCGTGGAGAATATGAAGTCATTGGCTCGACAGATAGGTTGGTGGCCGGAGTTTGACACAGACATTTACGCAACAGCCAAAAACTGTGAGTCGTGTTTACATAAATTACGAACAAGACCGAAAAACTGGACGCCATGACCGGAAAGTTATATACCATGGCGAATGGTTCATTTGGATTTCTGTGGTCTATTTCTGAGCCGGTACTGCGCCCTTGTCCTGATGGATTCATACTCCAAATGGTCAGAGGTATTCTTTACAACTAGGCCTACCGCATCATTTGTGATACAAGTACTACGGAAATGTTTTAGTCGCGAAGGGATTCCACAATTGCTTGTGACGGACAATGGATCTCAGTTCTGTGCGACCGAAATGAAGCTTTGGATGGACAGCATCGGTTTCTGACATCTTCAAACTGCGCCTCCTCACCCCTGTTCGAACGGAGCGGCAGAGAATTTAGTCAAAACTATCAAGAGTGTGATTGCGTCTGCCAATCTTAAAACGCTACATGAGTTGTAAATGTTGGTGGGTAACTTCCTACTTCAATACCGAAACGCAACACATACAACCACCAAGAAGAGCCCGACAATGATTTTTAAATCCAGACGCTTGCGATCCTCCCCACAGTGCCTCGACTCCAGTGACGTCGTATACTTCCTTGGTAACGATTTTCGACCCGCGTCTGGTATAGTCACACGACAACTGGGTCAAGCCGTGGTGGAAATTACCGACTTGAATGATGCTACTGTGCACATGTAAACCAAATATACTTCAATCCATCCACGGACCAGCGGCATCAAGAGACCAGCGAGGAAGACAATCAGTTGTATACCCCATGAGCACAACCGACGGAGCCGCATCAATCAGATGTGCAGAAACAACCAATCAAAACACAAGGACAGCGCCAGGAACAGGCGGAGCCAACGATTGCAGTCCGAAGGTCTAGCCATCGAGCAAGACCGATTGACGAGGCACTCTTGAGGGAAGAGAGTTGTGGTGATCCAGACTTCCGTGACCTCAATCCATGCACGAGTAGACACAGTTTCATGTCATCCAATCACGGTTTCAGGAAGCTCGACCAGTGGTACACCGGGCGAATATGACATCCGAGTTAGCACATATGATACGTCGTGATTAGAGAATGCTCGTTCAACCAATCACATGAACTAATACATTCTATAAAACATGAACTTATTCCATCAATAAACATAAGCATTTGC